GAGGCAAATGTGCCCCCAGAGCCGGCACCACAGTGGCCCTGCTCGCGGTCACCCACTGTGGGCTTGCTATTGCAAGCTGCCTTGAATTTGTTTTGGGATGGATGCCAGTAAAGCAGTAAATAAAAACACTGTCCTCCTGCGGCTACCCAGCCAGCCTCGCAGTGGCCAGTCACACTAAGGTCTTCCTGGGGTCCCCATGCAGTCCTCTCCTGTTTCTGGGCCCGGGCCAGGATGAATTCCCTCCCTACAAGACAGTTCTCTAGACGTGAACACCCAGCAGAGGAAATTAGGAAGGGGGATAGGCTTCAGCTTCTTCACAGTCTCTGCTGGAGACCTTTGAGCAGAGTGAGATCCAAATGATATTCCTGCTCCCAAAATGTCAGGGCTGCTCTGGAGAAACACCAGCATTTGTGGTGGTTTGGGGTAAACTTCTTGAATAATCTGGGCCTCAGCCATCTTCCCTGCAAGACTGTGGCCTCCTCACCGCCCTCCTTCCTATTTCAAGGGCCTTCACACACCCATTACTGGGGCCCACAGCCCCTCCACCACCCCCTTTTCCCACATGGACAAAACTCCCTGTGAAGACATGTGAGTGGACTGGTCTGCCAGAGGTAGCTGAGGACACATCATTGCACATCATTTCTGAGCTCCCGCCCGCATGAGGGTGATCTAGGTCTGGGTCAGCAGGGATGACAGGAGCCCTCTGTGAGCAGTGGGGCAGGCTCCTGCTCCTGTCTGGGAAGGGTGGCTGGCAGACCCGAGGGAGCGCTCCCTGGGGGCGGCTGCAGAAGGGACCCCCTCACTCCAGGAAGCTGCTGAGCCCTGGGGAAAGCTCAGAAGGAAGCCCCGCATGCTTTCCTGGCACAGAGGTGACCTGCATCAGACAGTTCACGGGGAGGGCTATGGGCCAAGCGAGAGGAACTGAGACAGAAAATAATGCCCTTAGAGTCTGGAGCACACAGGGAAGCATCTCTTAAGAAACTTTTTTAAAAAATATATATATAAGAGGGGCACCTGGGTGGCTCAGTCAGTTAAGCGTCTGCCTTCGGCTCAGATCATGATCCCAGGGTCCTGGATCAAGCCCCACATTGGGCTCCTTGCCCTGCAGGAAGCCTGCTTCTCCCTCTCCCACTCCCCCTGCTTTTGTTCCCTCTCTCACTCTCTCTCTCTCTTTCAAATAAATAAAATAAAATCTTCTAAAATATATATATATAAGAGGGAGCAGAGGCTGCTGGGAAGATGGCGGAGTAGGAGGACCCTGGGTTTACCTCGTGCTGCACCTAGAGAACACCCACATCAGCATAAATAACCCAGAAAGTCACCCGAAGACTGGCAGAACAGACTCTCCACAGCCGAATGTAGACAAGAGGCCACAATGAAGCGGATCACCCCCCCCCCCCCCGATATGCTCTTGGCAAGATCTCATCAAAGCAATGCCACAAGCCTGGCAGTGTGTGTGTGGCCCAGACAAGGGTCAGCACCACTCCAAAGTGAGTCCTGCTCCAGGGAGAGGCAAAGATAACCACACACCAGTCTGACTGTGACTCTAGCAGTGGGCTGGGGGCAGGTAGCTGGTCTGACTGCAGGCCCCACCCACCAACAAAAGCTTCTCAAGAGACAACACAGGGAAAGTGCCTGCAGTCTGGTGCTACTTCATCTCTGGCAAACACCTGGTCTTACTCAACGTAAGCCCAAGGCAGCCCCAGACTGGCCCACTAACACCACGGGCACCAGACTCTGCCCACAAAAGGCAGAGAGCCATCACAGGCTGGACTGAAGGCAAACACAGCTCCACCACAACAGTAGGGCACCCCTGGAGCAACACACATAGGAGACACTCCCTGAGGCAACATTTTCTGGTGAAAAGGAAACATTGCACTATGGGGCACTACAGGACCTCTTCTTCATAAAGCCACTACTTTCAAGTGCAGGAGACATAGCTGACTTTCCTAACAGAGAGAAACAGACACAGCAAGAGATAGAATGAGGAGACAGAGGAATATGTCCCAAATGAAAGAACCAGAACAAAATCAGAGCAGGAGACCTAAGCAAAACAGAGATAAGTAATATGTCTGATAGAGAATTTAAAGTAATGCTCAGGGTGCCTGGGTGGCTCAGTTGGTTAAGCGACTGCCTTCAGCTCAGGTCATGATCCTGGAGTGCCGGGATCGAGTCCTGCATTGGGCTCCCTGCTCAGCAGGGAGTCTGCCTCTCCCTCTGACCTTCTTCCCTCTCATGCTCTCTCTCTACCATTCTCTCTCTCTCTCTCAATAAATAAATAAAATCTTTATAATAATAAATAAATAAATAAATAAATAAATAAATAAATAAATAAATAAAGTAATGCTCATAAAGACACTCGCTAGAATTGAGAAAGGAGTGCAGGACCTCCACAAGACCCTCCACCAAGAGATAGGAGACCTAAAAAAGAACCAATTAGAGATAATGAACTCACTAAATGAAAATAAAAATAGACCACCTGGAATAAATAGCAAGCATGAGGAAGTAGAAGAATGGATCAGCCGCCTGGAGGAGAGTCATGGAAAGTAATCAAGCTGAGCAGATGAGAGGGAAAAAAAATACGCAAAATGAGAATTGACTCAGGGAACTCAGTGATACTGTCAAGCATAACAGTCACATGTTAGGGTCCCAGAAGAAGGGTGAGAAAAGGGGGCAGAAGATTTATTTGAAAAAATAATAGCTGAAAACTTCCTGAATCTGGGGAAGGAAAGAAATCCAGATCCAGGATGCACAGAGAGCCCCCAACAAAACCAACCCAAAGACATCTGCACCAAGACACAAAGTAAATAAGATGGCCAAAAGTAATGATAAAAAGAGAATTTTAAAAGCAGCAAGAGAAAGGAAAGCAGTTACATACAAGGGAAACCCCACAAGGTTATCAGTGGATTTTTCAGCAGACACTCTACAGGCCAGAAGGAAGCGGCATGATAAATTCAAAGTGCTAAAAGGAAAAAATCTACAGCCAAGAATACTCTATCCAGCAAGGCTTTCATTCAGAATAGAAGGAGAGATAGAATTTCCCAGAAAAACAAAAGTTAAAGAAATTCATGACCAGGAACAAAACCAGCCACGTCCCCATCACACATGATGCCATCAGCCTGTGAGTTGGAAATCCACAGTCCAGTCTCCCTCCTGCCTGAGTCAGCATGCACTGCCTGCCACCTGCTCAATGCCAAGTCAAAATGCCTTCACCACAGATCAGCAAAGACACAAACTGACACTCTTCCCCTGTGCTCAAGTTTGTGCATAAAAGTGGGCATAATTATAACAGCAGAATGAAGCAACCCAAATAATGACACTAATTCTGTGGAATATATAAAGGATAAAAGGAGTGTGCTAGGCTGAGAACATCTCCAACAAGCACATCAAAGAACAATACATACAGCATGATTCTGGTGATTAAAGGAAACAAACCTGGGAAAAATAAAACAAGACAAAATCAGAGAGGGAGACAAACCATAAGAGACTCTTAATCACAAGAAACAAACTGAGGGTGCTGGAGGGGAGCGGGGTAGGGGCATGGGGTAACTCGGTGGTGGACATTAAGGTGGGCACATGATGTAATGAGCCCTGGGTGTTATATGCAACTGATGAATCACTGAATTCTACCTCTGAAACTAATAATACACTAAATGTTAATTAATTGAATTTAAATTAAAAAAAGAAAGAAAGAAAGAAACCCAGGTGGCTCAGTCGGTTAAGCGTCTGCCTTTGGCTCAGGTCATGATCTCAGGGTCCTGGGATCGAGCCCCGCATCAGGCTCCCTGCTCTGTGGGGAGCCTGCTTCTCCCTCTCCCTCTGCCTGCTGCTCCCCCCACTTGTGTTCTCTCTGTCAAATAAATAAATACGATCTTTTAAAAAATATAAATAAATAAATAATAAAAAAGAAACCCAAAAATATATGTAAGAGCAAATTGAAAGAATGTTTGACTTATAAAATGAACCAGAGAAATGAAGCTTTTGACTCTTTGTTCATCTGAATAAAGTTCCTGAGAGTTCATCCAAGCCCCAGTCCCCTCTGCTTCCACTTTGGACGGGGCGAGGCAGGGTCCAGTTGGTGCTTGCCACCCCAGCCCCTATTCTGATTCATGGCCTCAGCATCGGGAGCTGTTGGTGCTCCACCCAAAGACAAAGCAGAGGGGCATCCTCTTGTGGGGTTGGCCAAACCTATCCTGCAGCACCCTCCGTCTTTCCATACCCTTCCAGAAAGGCCCTCAGGCAGAGTCTGTTTCAGCTAAATGAACCCTGCAGGATGCGCCCTCCAGAGAACAGCAGTCACCCAGAGGCAGAAAGGAAACAGTTCTGGGGTTTTCTCAGGTGGGCTCCAAGCACAGCTTGTCCTTCAAATGAATGGGAATCTAACAGGTTCCCAGAGCCTATTCACTCCCCCTGCTGTCAGAAGAGCTCCTACAGCCTCCCTGACTCTCGGCCCTCCCCAACACCCAGCCCCCTCCAGGGGCAGCTGATCAGAGAGGGGTTTAGTGAGCACTTTCCAGCAGACACGATTGCCAGATGTTCCAGCAGTTCCCACAAGGGACGACGAGACCCTACACGTGTGCCCTATGAGTGGCACAGCCTGGGTCCAGAGTGCCCAGGTGTGAGCCCCAAACCCCTTCCCAAATGCTGGATCTGTGACCAGCTCAAGACTTCTGAGAAGATGGGCTTGTTAACTGTGGAAAGCCCTAGAATCAGGCCTGATACTTAGTAAAAGCTAACTGAGGGTTAACAGTTCCTCATTTCTTAATTGAAGGAAGGTCAATCTCCCCATGAGGAGCTTATACGCAAAAGAAAAATACCAACACTGAGAAATTGACTAACAGAAAAAACAAAGATAATCAAAGAACAAAAATTTGTAAAAACAAAAAGAATAAGGAAAATGTTATACATCCCCATAAGTAAAATAAAAAACTGGATACCTTAATTGCCTATAAGAATGGCATTATTCAGTGATGATGTGAGGTTAGAGTTATACTATGTAGTACGATATTATAAACTTTATATTTGGTGGTTTTATTATATATCATAGTATTACCATAAGGCAATATAACTATTATACCATACAGCATATTATTATCCTGTATTTATTTCCTTTTTATTATAAACATTAAACCTGATATGACTTTAAAATGTTCATTCCAGTTAGTAAGTTTATCTATAGGGGTTTTCCCTAATTAAATATACCGAGTTGTGCACAATAATTCATGTGCAAAAATGGTCATTACAATGTTATTTATAATATCAATGTCAGAGAATTGAAAATAAAATATTAGATCATTTAAGGATGGTTAAGTAAGTTGTGATTTAGACTACTGAATGAAGGTTTTGACATGGGAGGCCCATGCTGGGCAAGGGTACCTCGAGGAACATGGGTGCCACGTGCCAATCCATCTTTCGAAAAGTACACTGAGTCAGCCACATACAGGCTGAGGGATCTTGAACAAGATCAGAATTATGGGAAAGAGTCACCTGTAAGTAAGAAGCAGGAACAAGTAACCACCCTGTGTAATCTGAGAGGCATTTACTGCCCAGACAGCTCTTTATTCCCAAAGAAGTGCAATGTGCATGGACACTTTCCTCTGCTCAGAGGTAGAAAACCTTTACTTAGTGATAGGCTTCCTAAACACTATCCCCATTAGATCTTTCCAGGGAATATAGATCTCAGTAAATTTTGAACCAGTTCTTCACAAATGTTTCAAGTCATGGTACACATAGATCCTGCTTGTTCTGCACATGGTGGTGAACGGAGAAGGCACCTGTGCAGGAAGGCAAGTCGCCCAGGTGCCCCCGGGGCTGTGGGACGTGCCCTCAGCACCTGTAACCTTACGGGCTGGGCAGCTTTGCCTGATGAAAGGACAGACGTCCTCTTAGGGAGATCAGACTGCAGGAGAGGCCATCAGGGCCCCTGCACAAAGCACCAGGGGGATCTTTGCAATTACCCATCCTTCCTCAAGGCAACCAAGCAAACAAGCTGCAGAGAAAGGTCATGGTGACCTCTGGCATGCGTTGCTCAGGAATGGTGACCGCAGATTTATTAATGTTCACATATGCCCATAAAGAGGAATAATGGGGCTCTGAGGGATTCAAGATTTTCATTAAAATGTCCCATAAGGATGGTTACATCAGGGAAAGGCACCAGAGGTCTTTAACCAGTCTGGCTATTGGTGGGCAGCTCACGCTTGATTAGGCCAAGACTACATAAGCCTTGGGCTTATTTTCTTGGAAACACATTTGAAAATATTTAATTCTATGAAGGAAGAAAACATAATCTAAAATAAAGTAACTCATTTTTTCAAACAGGTCTCTTTGGCTCCTTCTATCTGCCTTAGCACAAGATACTTGTTGGTATAGCAACCAGTATGGAATGAAAAATAATCCAGAAATTTCAGAGTTTGTCCTCAGAGAAAAAGTTTCTAGGTTTGTTTTGATGGGATCTTTCCGTTAAGATCATTCTGTTCTCAAATGGCAGACGGATCTGGGTCGGCGCCAATGTCAAATAAAGCACATATTTCCCAGCCACGCTGTCTGACCATAAGGTTTCCCTCCAGCAATCCAGCTACCCCATTGCTGAGAACGGGTGCTTGCTGTTCTGGAGTCAGAAACGCCTCCTGGACCACAGAGCCTCAGGTGCCCTTGTGCTGGGCGGAATATGCTTCCGGGTCCCTGTACACGTCCTCCTCACCTGGGCACTCAGCTCTGCTCCTGCATGTTACCATAAATTGCAACTCCAGGCCCCACCAGCCCCCCAGGGAGTGCAAGTCAGAGCCACACATGTGTGAAGGGAAAGGGTGCTGCCGAGGCCATGGGCCTTCACGTGGCTCCTCACCGGCCAGGTGCTGACGATGCTTTGCATCACCAGGGTCTTCTTGAGGTTCCTTTTCAGGAAAACAAAATCAAAGTTCACTTTTAAAACCAAAAAAGAAAAAATAAACATGTGCTAGTGTTTCACATTGTAGATAAATATGAATCCCAGATGGATGAAGGAGTTAATATGCTAAAAATCAAAACCAAAAAATACTAAAAGAATATGTAGGTGAATTTCTCTATCATTGGTTGAGAAAGTTCTTCCTAATCTCAAAGAAAATTGCTGCACTTTACCACACAAAAGTTCTTACTTACACCACATTTTAAAGTTGTGCATATCAAAAAAACCAATACACTAAATTAAAAGACAAATAATAATATAGAAAAATATTTGCAAGAACTATGAAAAGGAGTAAATATTCCTAAGGTTCAGTCAATAAGGAAGCTGCCAAGACTCCATGAATAAGTGGGCAGATTACTTAAAAAGCCAAGCCACAAAGTATAAATGAAAATACCTAATAAATATGTGAAAATTGTTCAATGTCACAAGAAAATAAAGTGATGCATTTTTATTTCCCAATACAAAAATTTGTAAAGACAAATAAATAATATCCCACCTAGAATGTTACTGATAGGACCAAACTGGTCCAAAATTTCAAGAAAGCATTTCAGTAAATACAGCAATAACTTCAAAAATGTTTGTGAACTTCAACCAAATAGTTTCACTTCTTATCCTAAGCAAATAAACCTGGTTTTAAACAAATATTTATGTACAAAGATGCACACATGGCAAGAACTGGGAGAACAGGCTGGAACTGGGAGGAATGGCTAGATCCCAGGGTGCCCATTTCCTGGGGTATCATGTGACCAAGGATGTTTGCAAACTTTTAATGATAAAAAATAATGCTTAGGAAGTTAAGTGGAGAAAAAAAAAAGCACTTAAATTGTATATAGAATCCTTCATTCATATAAAAACACATTAAAAATACTAAAAAGAAATACACAAGATATTAAGGTGGCTACTCTTGGAGGCAATCATGTTCAGAAATTCATACTTCTTTGCTTTCAGCCAACATGTGTAAAGTGCCTTCTACTTACCAGGCAGGTTCCTAGGGCACTGGGAGCTCAGACGTGGACAGAATAAAGCACCTGCATTCCAGTCAGGGGAGATGGCTGGTAAGAGGCAAATCAGAGCAGACTGTAGCAGGTGCAGTCCACACTCGCTCTACAAATCAGGGGCATGAGAATGTGTCCAGCAGGCAGATGGAGGTCCCCCAGCAGCGATACTGTGATGACAAGGAAAAAATACAATGAACACAATGGAAATAAAACTTCTAAAAGTCTGGCTTACAGGCAATTCCTTATCATGTACACACTGCCCAGAAGTGATGTTCTTGCCATTTGCAATGGAGTAATGTTGCTACAAATCTTAGCTCCTCTAGAAGACAGCACCACCTACCCGGCCTGAGGTATTTCTTTTTTTCTTTTTTTTTTTTGGAACCTGAAGTATTTCTTTGCAAAACTATATGTCAGATTTATACCTAGCCAAAGACTTTTCATATGTGAACTGGACAAGATGAATATTCAGAAAATATAAACTCAGATGTCACCCAGGAACTCTTTTTTTCTTTTTTTTTTTATTATTTTCAATTAGCCAACATATAGTACATCATTAGTTTGTGATGTAGTGTTCACTGATTCATCAGTTGTATATATGAAGACGTATACCAACTGTTGGACAAAGGAAGAAAATGGAAAATTTCAAGAATGAGAAAGTGACGGTGTTAAAAAAAAAACTGTCAGTGATAAATAAGGTGAAATAGAGATGATCTAAATAACCACACTGTGCTTTTAAAGTTAAATGCAAATGTAAGAAAATCCTCAATATTGAATTGTATCACATAAAATTCTATAAAATAGCAATAATAATTTAAAGAGTAGATATTACTATAAATGCTGAGCAGTAGGTATAAAGATGGAGAACACATGCATGAAGATGAGAAAGAACATTCTAAAATCACATATTCAACGGAGATGCATTTCACTATTGACTACTATTTAGGGAAATATAGGCTAAATCATGCCTTTAAAAACTAAAAGTATTCACTAGTTAACACTGAATATAGTAAATATTGTTTCTAAGACAGAAATTAAAGAAAGAAAATACAACTCATACACCAAAAGAAGAAAGCAGTGTCCAAGCCTTGATTAAAATGCTGGAACAATGTTTAAGTCAGATATAATTCAGGGTGATTTCACTGTTGGAAGATAAATCTCAGATTGTACCTACCACCAAACTCCAACCATGTCCTACTTTTAAAAGTTACACCTAAAATAAATGACACTAAAACGTCTCCATATTTATATATTGGCAAAGTACACAGGCAAATACAATGAGAAGTAATACAGGGAGGATGACCAGGGGGATGGTGGGTGGAGCAGGGGGGATGCTGGGTGGAGCAGGGAGGATGGTGGGTGGAGCAGGGGGGATGGTGGGTGGAGCAGGGGGGATGGTGGGTGGAGCAGGGGGGATGCTGGGTGGAGCAGGGGGGATGCTGGGTGGAGCAGGGAGGATGGTGGGTGGAGCAGGGAGGATGGTGGGTGGAGCAGGGGGGATGGTGGGTGGAGCAGGGAGGATGGTGGGTGGAGCAGGGAGGATGGTGGGTGGAGCAGGGGGGTATCTAAAGTGATGGATCAGCTCACCTGCTCATTCCTCGCTTAGAAGCAACTTTCTAATGGCCCAGCCGCTTGACTGCAGAGAACCCATTTGTGAGCAGGTAAAGGTCACTATGTGGGCCGCTGCGGCCCCTCCCACCCTCCCCACAAGCCCAGCCCAGAGGGAACCCAGGCCAATCCAACGCTTCAGTGGGCAGTAGAGGAAGACAATGTCCAGCAGAGGAGAAATGAAGCAAATACCGAGTAGGGGTCCTACAGGGAGAACGGGGAGCACAAACAGCAGGGTCAGGGTATACGAGCAGCAGGCAGGGTGGAGAGGCTCTGGGAATTCGGGATGTGAGAGACAGGGGTGTACAGAAAGCACAAGGGTATTTGTTAGGGCCTTATGACTTGGAAGGGGTTGGTCCTTTGAGGAAAGAGACATTTGTCACTGTTTTTGTGCGCCTGCCTGGATGACACCTCTCAGTCATGGGCCCACCCAGCTCCTGGATGTGAAGGGGCCCCTGGAGTTGGGCCGTCCTGAGCACCAGGGAGCATGGACACACGCTGGCTGAAGCAGGGCTGGCCCCTGAGCCTCTGAGGAAGTTTCCCACTGTGGGTGCCTGAGGGCCTTTTTCCTGGGGGCACAGACTGGGGGGTTTCAGTGAGGTCAACTCCCCCGTCCTCCCCAGCTCCGGCACGCAAAAGGCTTCACAGAGGGGACGTCTGAGCACAGTCCCCTTCTGTCCATCGGGCCTATGGGCCTCTCCATTTTTCCCTGGGGCTCCCTCGCATTCCTTGTAAAGCTAATCTGAGCCTGGTGGTTAGGAGGGCTGAGGACAGCAACTCGGGGAGGGACAGCAGCAGTACCAAGCTTGGGTTGGTTTTATGCAGGCCTGACCTACTTAACTGACACTATGGGAGTGTGGCCAGTTTCTCATTGTTGGGAAAGGCTGGGAAAACAGTTTTGAGCAGAGACTTAATTAATTGGTGCTTTATTTCTCTATTTAAGCATCTAATGATTTTTTTTTTTTAAGAGAGGGAGGCAGGGAGGGGCAGAGGGAGAGGGAGAGAGAATCCCAAGCCAACTCCACTCTGAGCACAGAGCCTGACGCAGGGCTCAATCCCAGCGCCCCGAGATCATGACCTGAGCCGAAATCAGCAGCTGGAGGCTTAACCGACTGAGCCACCCAGCACCCCAAGCATCTAATGATTATTCATCTTGGTTGAAAAAAATTTAAATTCTAGCTTCTCCGACATGCCTTTGGAGCATGAGAGAGGATGGTTTGGGCTTGTGTGCCTCTTCCCAGAAAGCGGAGAACAGCACGGGAGAAGAGCGAGAACGTGCTGGAGGCTGGCGGCTCTGCTGCGAGCAGCTGTGTACAAGAGCGGCTCTGCTTCGCGACAGGTCACCGCTTACCACCCCACCCCCCACCCCCGGCGCGTGAAGACGGTGAGAGCGGACGGACGGACGTGTTCGGTCCCCACGCAGGCCCGGGGCGCCACCGCTCTGAACCCCTCCAGACTCCACAATGGTACCATGAGCCGAGACCTGACCTTGAGGGCACCGTCAGTGCTGGGGACCGGGCGCCCATTCTGGCCTCCCGGGGAAAGGTGGCGGTCTCCACCGGTCTGTAAATCAAGGCTTAAGCTGTTCCCAGGGAAACGTAGCCCTGCTGGGGCATCTCTACCGCCGGGTTTGTCTGCTTTGGTGTGTGTTCTCCTCAAAGACCCCTCACAACCAAACGAGGAGCAGATCTTGAGGATGCGGTTCCCTCCAGATCATTCCAGAAGGAAATGTGGCTCCTGAGTGGCTGGGGCACCACCAACACCGCCCAGTCCCCAGGGCCTTCTCCCCCTGCCTGTTCCTTTCCCAGGACAGCGTGATCCCCTCCCAGGACTGGAGCCCAGCCACCAAAGTCATGGAACTTCAAGAAGACTCAAAAACGCCTCAGCTTTGGTGAAGAAATAGAGCTAAAGAATGCTTTTTCAAGCTTTCTTCATAGATTTGAAGGAGGGTTCTCTCCCAGAGTTCAGTTTATAGGTTTAAAACCAATTTCTAAAAGGAGGAAAAAGGGAATGAAAAAGAAAGCAAACAAGGAAAGAAGACGGAGAAAGTCTGTCATCTTCATTTAAAAAAATGACTCTTATTCATTACTTGGTTTACTCATAAAATAATTGTGTTTTGTTGGTAAACCCACCCAAACAGGAGTTCCATGAAAGCAGGGACTTTGTTCTTTACTCTGGCATTTATAAGAGTTCCTGACACACAGGAGACACTCCATTAATATTTGTTGAACTAGTTACACATTTAAATATTTGAAGCAAAAGAAACATTTGAAGATTTGGGTGGAAAAGATTTTTCCCTAAGTTTGGAGAAAAAAGAAAATGTGTAAGTCCTGAGGAAGAAGAGAGATGATTCTTCTGAAGTTTCCTTGTGTTTTCCTTACGCATTTGTACCTCCCTTTGCCCCATGTTCCCACTCACCCTTGCCCCAACTCAGAAAGGGTCAGCATTCTTCTGATCCAGGTCCCCTTTCTGAGGTCATGGGCAAGGACATTTCCAGCAGTACCTGCCATTGTAAGAAACAGAAATCCCTGATGAAGACAAGGAAGGCATAACTTATACATGGCATATCCCCAGAAAAATGGACACGTAGGTGGGGCCCTGAGGGCACAGCTTAAGAGACCATGGAGCCTCTGAAGCCCATTCGTGGAAACAAGGGTAAGAATCCATGCTCCAGTGGAGTCTGTGAATAAATGGTAACTTCCGGCCCCTTCAAACACTGAGCCCCAGCAATGCCTGACAGGCTCTGCCCTGGCTCATTTTACTGAGCCTTCAAAATTTGACAGGCTGGCAGACACTGTATTTGGCAGGAGAGTTAGGAAGATTTCTGTGGCAAATAAAACCCAAGACAGTTTCCAGAACAAGAGAGCCATATGATCCTACACAAGGACGAAATGGCATGACGGCCAAGACTCCAGACTGGTTAGCCCAATCAGGGTTAAACTCCACCTACTGATAGAGACATGACTTTCTAAGCAGAATTTTAATGAAAATTTCAGAGGACAGGTTGAGAAACACTGCTCAGATTCCATTATCTAAAAGTAAATCTTTCCCTAATTTACTTTTCATTTTTAATTATTATGTTCTCAGGCCAAAAACCATTTATCAACTTATCACTATAAATTTTGATACATCCACAACAACATCATCAGGGATGTAATAGCAAGAAAACCAACTTCCAGGAGTAGAAAGGAATTTACATTGATTCTACCACGGAGGGTCCTAAGGGACCATTGAGTTAACCCCTTACTCCCCACGGAGATCGAGACACAGAGAGGCTTGTCCACCAGCCTGAGGACTCACAGCAGAGCACAGTTCCCCTCCCACCTACTGAGTAGGGCCAACAGAGAGACAAGAGGCAGTGGCCTGTGGCAGTTAGCATGCTCCACTGGTCCGGACAGTTGGGCTGAGGTTCAGAATTCGTAGAAGTTCCCCAGGGATTTCAGTGTGCATCCAGGGTTGGGCACCTCAGTTGGAAGGGTGCCTTGCACACTGGTCCATTAGAATCACCTGCGAGCTTCTCCCTCCCTGTTCACCTCTCCCCTGGGAGAAGCAGACTTTCCCCAAGAGGACGTCTCAATGCCGATGTGAGCGGACCTTCTGGGAACCATACAAAGTCCAAAGGAAAGGGGTTAAGTTACTCTGTTGCTCCCGATCTGGGGGACGGGGTCTGCCCAACCCACCCCAATCTATCGCCTCTCCATTCAAAACCATCTGCTTCTTATCTCAGGAAAGCTTGGCCCTAGAAGTAGATGATTTCTATTCTGTTCAAGTATTATTTGAGTACTTTTCCTAGGATTTTGTGGTGTTGGTTTTGGGATTAGTGTGCCCTCTTCTAAGGATTATAAATCATTTTTTGATCACACAGAATTAAGTAATTATAAGATAATTTGCTAAAGTGGGTTTTGGCCTGCGTCAATTGTTATGAGATCACTCAACACAGGCTTTACAGAACACTTTCTGGAACAGCTCATTTCATAACATTGACGTCAAAAGCTCAGCTCTTTCTCCCACAGATCTGACTTCTCTGGGTTCAAAGAGGGCACTTTATCAGAAAGGGGGGCCTGTCTTGCTTCCGAGGAACAGTAGCTGTTTCTACAGCACTTGGTGTGTGTCATTTTGCTTGACCCATGGCCACTTGAGCAAATGAGGGTGGGGCTGGAGGCTTGGAGGCGGCTTAGCCTGAAGCTGAGTCTTGGGATTTCCAGAAGGATCACCATGGGAGGTCTGGCTTTGGGCCATTTAAATCATGGCAAAACAGTCAGAAATGTGTGAATCCTCTGATCATAGCTGCAGAACACAAATCAACCAGTAGATAGAACCCTATCCATTTACTTACCTGCTGTGTTTACCATCTATGTTGGCAGAGGGAGTCTTTCAAGGAATCAGCTTATGCAATTATGGGGACCAACAAGTCCAAAATCCACAGGCTGGGCCAGCAGACCGGATACTAAAGCAAGATATCCGTGCTATCATCCTGAGGAAGATCCTTAAGGAAGCCTCAGTGTTTGCTTTAAGGTCTTTCTACTGATTAGAGGGGGCCTACCCACACCACTGAGAATAACTTCCTTGACTTCACATCTGCTAATGGGAGATGCTGAACCAGGCTGACCCCCTCTTCCTGCCAAAGACGTGGGCACTGGGGCAGTCACTTGTGATCCTATGGGGGAAGTCATGAAAACCTTAAGGGGATTCGGCCCCTGTATCATCGAATCACAGAGCCAGGGCCTGCAGTCACCTTCTCCTGGACTTCTTTCCATGTGAATAAATACACCTCCCTGGGTGAGTAAACTGGAAGGATTCTAGTTGTTATATTCTGTTACTTGGAGCCAAAGCATTCATAACCAATACAATGGATCTGATGGAGAAGATTCAGTCCACTTCTGAGTTAGGAGCTACCTTAGTGGCAAGGAATAAACAACTGCTCAGGGTCTAATTAAGAGGTTTATTGAAAGGACAAGGAGATTAAGGGCAGAAGCAACCTCGACAGCCACCGGCCAGGTGTGACAGCTCAAACATGGCTCATGGGCCATCCGCCATTGAGGAGGTCTCAGGAGCCCCACAGAAGCTGCGGCGACCAACAGGTAGCTCTAGAACTCCCACACTGTGACCTCATCAGCTCTGCTTCCCTTCCTGCTCTTCATGCGTCCGCTCTGCAGCCTGACAGGCTGTCCCACCTCATCCCCACTGTTGGCTTCATCTGTATCTAGCTCTACGTCTCAGCTTCTGGGACCCTGCTGTCTGCAAACTCCATAAGAGACGAGCTCTGTTGGGGTTGGCCAGTCACCCCCAGATACGTTAGTGTCTGTCAAAGATAAGACTCACCTGCAGGATCTGAGAACACTGTGGGTTCCTGCGACCTAGCCTAGACTGACTATATCACAATGGAGGGACACAGATGGGAGTCTGCATCGTTAGGAATCTACCCAAGTGTTTCTCATGCACTCAGTATGAGAACACTGCCTTCTAAAATGCCCCTGCCTTCTGCAGGCTAGGCCATAGGCCGCTCACCACTGGAGGAGAGCTTGAACTTCACCCAGAAACAAGGCTTACCTCCAAAAGCCATAACCTGGGTGTCTGGTGGAATATTCCAGGACTGGGGAGATTCAGAACAGAGACATGTTCTCATATTCTTGGATGAGGAAGTACCTAGGAGAAAGCAAACGTTCTTTACCAAGTGCAAAGGTGCACTATGGGGGGGATGACAAAATGACCAAGAGAACTTATTTTTCCTTGAAAATTTCTTGTTTTCCCACAGCAACCAAATGAGTCATGGGATTTGCTAGCCAAGGGTTGGAGGGTGGGGAGCTCGCATAAAGCTGAGAACCAAAGTCAACTAGGTTTCTCAATCAGTTTTTCAAATCTTCTCTCGACTTTTGGTCTTGAAACCCAAGATTTCTATTACAAGAGCTTCCTAAGAAACAACAGCTTTCTTGAGCTGCACAAAGTGAAGAGCATAGATGATCCAAAGCTTTGAGCTTGTGCCATAAATCAGAGTGTGAAGAAAAATATAGAATGGCATGAAACAATTTTCCACCCCAAAACACAATGAAAGTTTGTTGTGGGAAGAAGAGGGTAAGCTGCTGCTAGGATCTCAACACAGCCCCTAGAAGACCTTAGAGTGGAAGCAGAGACCCAGAGCACAAGCAAGGCCGGGGAAGCAGCAAGCTCTGTTTGTAAATAGAACCAGGGGCACGCCCTCGCTGCCCTCCTCCCGGTGGACACAGGGCTTCCACAGACAAAGCCTGTGCATCCCCAGCTCCCCCGCCCACGGCCCTCTCTGTTACTCAGTACTCCAACAGAGCCTTGCACACGGACGGCCTCTATCTGGATTGTTCCCTCCCTGCTCCTGTACAGTGTGAGACCCCAGGGCCTGCAGGCTCCTCGGGGATGGGAGCCCCGTGCACACCGTCTACCATTCACAGGGTCCCACAAAAACCACAACATCAACAATAACACTCACTGAGGGCATCTATGCACCAGGAAGGACACTCACCATCCCGTGGCCTGTGCTGTAGGTGCTGTTACTACCCCATTTTACAGCAAAGAAACCAAAGCTCAGAGAGGGCAGGCAACTCGCCCAAGAGTGTCCAGTCAGCAAGTGACACAGCTAGGAGCTGAACGAGGCGGCTTGCTTGGCCATCTCCCTGTGAGCAAGACAATGGATGTAGCAGACAGCAAGAGTGCTGCGGCCTGAGTCGGTGTGGGGGTCAAGTGCAGCTTCACAGGAAAAGCAGGTGCTGGGGTCGAAGGGCTCTGCTTTGCGGTGGGAGCCCTATGACAGTCCTCCCGGGACACGCAGGGGCTCAGGGGTGCCTGTTCACGGCACCCAGGCCACAGGCTCACAGAGCCAGCTGAGATTTCCCCACTGTGGGGCCACAAGTTTGGGAAAAGGCCAGCCACAGAGCCTGGGAACCGCGGGCTTCAGTTAGGTGCCAAGGACTGTGAGCGGACACTGCTGCTAGGCTTGCCGAACCGAAGACAAAGTAACAACGGATCATAACATCCAAGTTATGGCGACCAATACGAAACACACATGATCAAAAATATCAAATAGTGCTGTGAACCACGCACAACGAAAGACCCTTCTCTTCTGGTCCCTGGAGCGGACACTGACAAGCCTCACCCGGGATCCTGGGAGCTACCATGTTTCTGGATGATGGTCTTCGAATGGGACTTCTTGACTGACCGATAGTGGATACTGGCTTTCTGTTTGGGTGAGAAGATTGGGCTTTGGTACACCTCCTACTGACGTTAAATCGTGACTTTAATGAACATGACCAGAGTTGTCACAGAGCTGAGTAGCATCAGGGTTAGCGTCCGCGGCTGGGGGCTTCGACATTTTGCCTTTCTTTCTCTCACTCTGTCCACGCTTCTGTATTCATAGTTCTCTCTGCAAGCTCCACTATGTTGAGCAGTCCGATAAATCCGGGGAGCTTTTTCTCCTCCCCCGATCTCCTCCCCAGGGCGCCCCTGCCTGCCCCTCGGACCCAGGTGTGCCATCAGGCCTGTCTCCAGGCCGGATATTTCATGTCTTCTTTCCCCTGGATTTTCTACCTTGTTTTCTTTGCTTATATCCTCAAGTGGCTTTCTGAAAAAGAGTACATCAGAAAAAACATTACCTGAGGTTATGAATATGTAAAACTACTACTATTTTATCTCATCAGTGATTTACCTTTGTTCCAGGTTGAAACCATTCCTTCTAGAACTAGCAAAGCCTGGTCCCCGCGACTTCTGTGCTGCTAAGAGGCTGAGAAGTCTGCTACCAACCCAATTCTCGCCTCCTTGGATACTTCCGTCTGCCTTCCACTTCCTGGGACTTGTTAGGGTCTTCTCTTGACTCTTGGAGCTCGGAAACTTAATGATGTTAAATCTCTGCGTAGGTTTGAGGTTTTGTTTGGTTTTGTTTTGTTTTTGCTTTGGTTTTTGGTCTTGGAGCTTTTTTCATTCACACAGAGAGCCCAGTTAATCTGGAGACTTGTGTCCTTTAACTCTGGGACATTTTTCTTACATTTCTTTGATATTTTTCTCCTTCATTTTCTCCATTATTTTTCCATAATCCCTACTAATTAGATATTGTTCTTTTAAGTGTTTTGTCATTTTGTTGTACTTTCTGGGCTGTTTCCTTACTTTATCTCCCGACACTTCTACTGAATTTTTTCATTTTGTAAGTCATGTTTCTGATTTCCAGGAGCCTTTCTTAATTCCCTGATTATTTTCTGTCTGTGGCATGGTGTTCTTATTTATCAGTATACTCTCAAAACCTTTGAGGAATATATCTATTCTGAGGTTTATCTTTGCTTTCCATAGGATCGTTTTTAGTTGGTTTATTTCAGTCTATTTTATATCAAAGACTTCAATGTTTGCCTTCCTATTTCCAGCATATAGATACCTCCTTCTGTGGTTTTATTTTCTCCAGGGAAGTGACCCCAGCTCTCCTGATGGAGGGCAGATGCCTGACAGTGAGCATTCTCAGGCCAGAGTCTGACAGATTTCACACAGTAAATATGATGAACTCCTGGGACTGGAGCTCCGAGAAGCCTAGCTCCTGAGACGAGAAAAGTAAAAAGGAAGATTTGGGAGGAAGACAGCTTCTCACCTTTTGCAGGGGTAGACTTACTGTCAGCCCTTCAAGGTCAGCACTTCGGATCTGGAGGGAAGCTTGGATCCTAACCAGCCTGTTTGTTTGCACTTGGGGAGACAAGCCCAGGGAGGGGGGCTCCCCTCTCCATGGCCACGTAGCAGGCCAGCTACCCGGCCTGGCCTGGCCTGGGTAGGACACTTAGGGCATCCTGCTTTTATAGGCTTTATCGAGATGCCCCCCTAACTTTGAAGGGTCCACTCTATCTAGTCCACAGTAACCCTCTTCTTACTAGAGCTGCCAGGTTGGCCTTTCCACCCGTCCCACCCTGTCCACCCCCATCCTGATCCTACACCTTTAGACACCTAGACATGTGGCTTGTCCTCCTGAAACCCCTCCTTCCCTTTTACCCAAACCTGGATGCCCAAGGGTAGAATGGGGTCAGCCTGGTGCTGCCTTCAGGGGACGCTTGTCAACAGGTCGCTTCTGCACGTGACAAATCATGTTGCCTCAATCATTTCCGGGGCTTGGGGAAGTATGAAGAATCGGGGAAGAACTGGTAAGTAAGCACCTACCTCAACTCCAAAAAAACATTAAGTAAATACATAATAAAATTCAACTTCATGTGTCCATAAGAAACTCAAATGTACTACCTTCACTATTGAAACAAGGCTACACCTTCTTGAAGAACACACATCCCTAGCCCAAGAGGGTTCAATGTTTGCTTCAGATCTCAGAACAGGTGAGGCTGGGCAAGTGTACTGAACAATGTGGCATCTCGTCCCTCATCCACCCCCGAGCACCAGTGATAGTCCACCCTCTATGTGTGACAGGCATGTGTCCAACAGCCTGTTCCTGATGCTTTCACTGTTTAGATGCCTCATTTTTCAGTATCCAGCCCAGAAGGGCACAGTACCTGTCACACGCCACCTTCCCCACCCTACGGCCCTTCTGAGCCTGGTGCCTGTGTCATCCTAAAGCGCTCTCCGGGGACCCAGCCCTGCCAGCTGGAAATGTCCTCAGTGCTTCCGCTGGGGGCAGAAGTCACCGAGCGGCTCCCTTACAGAACATTCCCATCCCCTTAACCTGGCCCAAGAACACTGAGAGGCCACAGACTTGAGGCCACAACCGGGCAACACAGCCGCACACACTGGAGTCCCAGGCCCCGGCCGGCTGGGCCCCTGGGCCCTTGGAGGGACACCCCTGCTGTTGCTCCCGCCCCGTCTACTCCCCACCCCACCCCCGGCCCCAGGAAGACCTGGCCTCACATGCAGATAATCACCACTCTTCTCAGTTCCTGACGCATCAGAGTCTTCCTGAGTCCTCCTGCTGCCAAACCGTGATGCACTCTCTTCCACCTCCCTCAGGGGCTCTCCGCTGCGGGGCTGGGTGCCGGCAGGTGCAGAGGATGTCCACCTGGAAGTCCACCTCCTTCTGAGGCTCAGATACAGAGGAAGAAAGTCCTCCCACAGGAAGGTCTGTCCAGTGATTTCAAGTGCCAGGCTAACCAGAGATCAAAGGATTTTGGGGAACACTTTCAGTCCACAACAACAGTAACTAGCAAACTCAAGACTCTCTCCCTATTAAAAAATCCCTCCTCAGAGTCACAAGACAACACTCACATCTAGTCCTCGTAAATAACCGGATCCAAATTGTGTCTCTGACCACATACCAACAAATACCTCCTGATGAGTGTCTGAGTGTGGACGCCTGTCTTCCTCACCCTCCACCCACCTGTCAGGGGCCTCCCGGGGCTGTGGCTTTTGAGGCACAGCCAGCTGCCCTTCAGGCATCAGGGGAGTGGTGGAAACCCTGTTGCGAGTCTTCTCTTCAAGAGAGAGAAATGCAGGAGGGAAATGTTAACAGGATTTGTGGTTTGGGCAGAGCCCTATCACGCCTGAGGCCATGGTGAGGCTTTGACCAGAGCCCGTCCGGTTGTCTGTCCACAGCCCCTGGCCCTGGAGAGCTGGAGTCCGATCCTCTGCGTGCCTAGCTGGCCCTCTTGCCAGTTCCTGCAGGGCAGGAATTTGGGGTGAAGGTTCTCCTTAACTTTCTAAAATGGAAGCCATCTATAATTAAATCAAAAAGGCAGTTCTTCACTCAGCAGAAGTGAATACTGGAAATTCTGGACCAGCAATTTACAACTATAAAATCACTCCAAATAAAACCAAAAAAACTATCCCCAGGATATTTCAGGCACAAGGCAGGGGGAGAAAAGAGGAAGACTTTAGAATGAGTATTGGTTTTATGCAGACGGCTTTGCAAATTTGCTGCCGTGGTGAAATGTTTCTGTTAGTCTTACAAAATGCTATGGCATTTTCCATGTGAAAAGTAGCCTCTCTGGGACAGAAGGGCAGGAAGGACTTAGCTAAACGGAAGGACCCCATCCCTGCAAGCTCACAAGCAGGAGGGAGCGCGGGGTCTCAGCGGGAGGAGTCATGGGGCTCCCACCTGTCACAAAGGCCCAGAAGAGAGTGCAGAAGTGAAAGTGAGTGTCACCTTCCTTGTCGGGTAGAGGGTGAAATAATGTCACGTTTGTGTGGCAGGAAGAGAGGTGGCCAGGAGGTCACAGGAGAAACTGCCACCGTGATCCCCCCCCACCCCGGGGAAGGGAAGGGTTGGTACAAACAAAACAAAAAGAGCGTCCACGTTCGATACCCATCTTCTCAGACAGCTTCACCACCGATGCCTGGTCACCCTGACACGCCCTGTCCCTCTCCCGGGAAGCTGAGGACTCCCCGGTAGAGGCTCATGCCTTGCACAATCCCGAGTGGGGCAGGGAAGGGGCTTGGCTGAACACAGAAGCCTGCAGGCTGTTTTCATTAAGGTGAGTCAGGAAACGCATAACCAAATGAGGCTTTGTTCCTAAACACAATGAACTTTTTCAGTAAGTAAAGAACAGGAACATATGTTTCCTTCAGACCAAGTGTTCCCTCCTTTGGGTGGGAAACTTGGTCAGTACAGCTAAACCTCTGGCCTTGCCCATGACCTCACATGTGACCCCAGCAAATCATCAAAACCTGGCATGATTTACCGACCCACTAAACAGGAACATTATCAACTTCGCTACCCACCGAGTCAAACTGGACCATATAGGAGCATACTCTGAAACACAGAAGTCATTCTTTAAATTCAACTTTTTGTCTGCACTGTTCCAGATAGGGTAGCAAGGCACCAAAGAAAGGGAATTACATCATTTTAATGGATGGCCACTTCTTGAGAGCCTCAGAGTGGTCTCCCAGTAAAGGGATCCCTGGTCTGCAGAGGGACTGGCTAAGGGCTTCTGAGCCCCAGGGGGACTATGGACCATCACCTGTTCTCAGCCCCGGAAGCTCCAGGTAGGGTCAGCCTGGTTGTGGGGCACTCCTCCTGTCTCTGCCCATCACCCTGGTCTTCTCAAAGGCCACAGTCCCTGGGCAGAGGGAGGGCATGATGTCACCACCCTTTAACATATTCTTTGGGTGAAGAAATTTGAAATGGAGCATTGTCAAGAGATATTCTTTATAAAATAAACCTTAAGGTTTTGAACGAGCTCAGCCTGTCAGACACATTCTGACAGAGCACGTGGCCTTAGTGCCTAAAGGGTCCACAAAACTTCAGAAGGCTCCCATGGCCACCGAGACCCTTCTGAGGCCTGTAGACTCTCCACAGGGTGCTGTGGCTTTGCCTCCTTATGGCACAGACTGGTCTGCTCTCCTTCCACTAGCTACCACTGCAAGACACCATAGGGCGGGTGCCGTCAGCCTGCCCCACGAAGTTTTTAGTCAGAAAGTTGGTGGGCAAAGGCTCAGTCAGCCCTGTTGGCAGCTCCTAACACTCATGCTGCCTTTCAAGCAGGTGAAGTGACACCCGAGACCCTGCGTATTGCATATTCTGTATGCGAAGGCACAAAGCGTGTACCCACGGAAACACACCGTGCTTGGCACAGATATCACCAGCTGCGTCTCACTCCGAGGGACCAAGCTCGGGGACCGGTTCGTGGAGGTCCACCCTGGGCCTGGGTCCAGCCCGCTAGTTCCAGACCTGGGGACATCCAAGTCTTACCCATTTTAAATATTGGCCAAGTAAGGACTCAATACAGAAATGACCATCTTTTATCATTAATATTTCAAAGGATTTAAAATTTAAAAAGTGAAGGACACTCTGTTAAAGACGTTTCTGCTCATCAGTCAGAGTATGTCCCCCGAGAGAAGCAGCAGCTCCCGGCAGAAACACAGACAAACAGTCATGTCAGAGGGTCTGCTCTGCCCAGCCCAGATGCAACACGGAGAAGTCAGCCCCTGTCGGGGCCACAGGAGCAGACAAGACTACGGTGAGCCTGACGCCAGCTCCCATTTTCTCAGGTGCTCGAAACCCTCTGGGCACAGGGGAGTGAAAATGCCCCTCACAGCTGGACCAAACCAACCAGCACACACCTCCCAGGGTCCGTGCACGGGCTCACAGCCCCAGGTCAGGAGTCCAGAAATCAAAGACAAATGTAGAAAGTGGCAGCTCTGACCCAAAGCTGGTAGGCCTCTAAACTTAATCAGAAGTTGAGCGTGGCCAGTGTGGTCCTACGTCCTATAGACAGGTGCAGATAGGGCAGAATGTTCTCGAATGGCACAGCCTCCATCATTGAGGATTTGGAAGTCCTCACCCTTGTATAGAAGACCTCTCGGTATGGGACTCTGACCGCCGGATTCTCATCCGGGTGTCCTCTTTCTGCTCTCTAGCCACGTTAGTCCCAGTGACTCCTCTTCTTCCAGAACACGGAGGCTTCCAGTAGATTTAGGTAGAGGCAGGAATGACTAATTCTGACCCCCAAACCTCCTTGAGCCACAAGCCTGGAGGAGCTCAGAGATGTAGCCCCAGGAGCCATCTGGGTGCAGGTGGTCCGTGGGGAGGCCTGTGGACGGCAAGGGCCCACTCAGGGCACTCCAGCCACCTTGTCGGGAGGAATGTGACTTTCCTCTGCCCAGTATCTAACTGTGGGTAGCCTGAAGAACATAGTGTCACCAGAATCTTTCCCTTAAATGCTGGCTTGGCTATAAAGGAGAGGCTTGATCAACATGTGCTCCCCTCCTTCATCCCTTGCAGGAGGTTACAATAGCTCACAAACATGTAAACTCTCAGAAATCCAGATTAGCAGTTCCCGAGTCAAGCATTAGGAGGATTTGGGGCATAGAGAAAATGGGGTGGCTCTCACACTGCACGCAGGGGTGCAATAGCTCGCTCCTTCCAAGCGAAGCTCATCCAGTTAAACCCTTGTCCGTTCCTGAAGCTGTGTGATGTATTTTGAAGTCCAGTGTGTGATGCCTCCAGCTTTGTTCTTCTTTCTCAAGATTGTCTTTAGCTATTTGGGTCTTTCCTGGGTCCATATGAATTTCAGGATTTTTTTTTCTATTTTTAATAAAAACATTCGTTCCTAAGTATTTTATTCTTTTGGATGTTACTGTAAATGAAATTATTTCCTTAATTTCCTTGTCAGGTGGTTCTTTGTTAGTACGTAGAAATACAACTGCTTTTTGTACCCTGCAACTTTACTGAATTCATATATTAGTTCTAACAGTTTTTTGGGGAGTCCTTAGGGTTTTCTATGTATAGAATCACGTCATCTGCAAACAGAGACAAGTTTACTTCTTCTTTTCCAGTTTGGATGCCTCTTCTTCCCTTGCCGTGCCTGCTTGCTCTGATTGGCCTCCCAGCACTGTGTGGAAGGGGACGGTGAATGTGGGCACCTTGCCTCCTTCCCCATTTGATGCCCCACCCTTCAGAGTGACGTTAGCTGTGGGCTTGCCATATATGGCCTTTATTATTCAAATTTCTTCTATCCTAGTTCATTGATCATTATTACCATGAAAGAATGTTCTGTTTGGTCAAATGCTTTATCTGAAAAATAGTCCTGGCCTTTTGGGACTTCTTTCCTGAGTCTGGGGGGAGCCTGGATCAAGGCACAGGGGCCACTCTCTTTGTAATGCATGAGAACCACTACAAAGACAGAGAATCAAGCTGGTCCCACCCCAGTGAATGCAAGGAGCGTGGTGTTCGGGAGAGCTGGTACCCCAGGGCTCTGGTGGTGCTTCTGCAGTCGGAGAGCCGTTAGCTTTAGAACCGCGCGAGTCCAATGCAGCAGGTCGATGGGACTATTTAAAGCAATGCCAGGTTTTGTAAATATGTTGGGAATTACTTTTTTTAAGATTTATTTATTTATTTTAGAGAGAGAAAGAGAAAGAGCACGAGCAGAAGGGAGGGAGAGAGAATCTTCAGCAGACTCCCTGCTGAGCGTGGCGTCTGACGTGGGGCTCGATCCCACGACCCCGAGATCATGACCTGAGCTGAAACCAGGAGTGGGACACTTAACTGACAGACCCACCCAGGTGCTCCATATTGAAAATCACTTTTTAAAAAGAGGATGAATAGTGTGCTCGTGAGAAACCATAAGTAAAAACTCTTGACAGTATTAGGTTTCTAGCAAACAAAGAGTCACAGGTAATAAATCAGGAATTTGTAAAATGTGACCATTTTCAACTGTCACAGAAAACACAGTCTCAGGTGTTTAGCTGCCCGCCCTCCTTCAGAACTCCTGCGTTGAGAGACAAACCCAGATGCCAACAGACACTGGGATGAGACGCACTCCCAGGTGCATGGTGTTCCAAGCTTGGAGCCACGTGACCAGACATGGCTAGTGGCTGGGGGTGGCCCCCTCTTTTCCTTGGAAGTCCCATGTTGCAATGCAGTGTTTGGAGGTGGAGGACACCTGGAGCGTGGAGGGAGCCCCCACCTACCTAGGGTATGGCGAGGGGAAAGGGACTCTCCCCACACTGCCCCCTGAGGTTTTGAGTTAAGGAGTGTTACTCCAGCTACTACAAAACTATTCTTTTAAATACCCTGCTTTACAACACTTCTAGAACCTCTCCTCTGGATCCTTACTGCTGGGAAAACACACACACACACACACACACACACACACAGATACACACGCATGAACACACACATAGCACCTCTTGGCTATTGGGTTAATTTCCTTCAATATTTCAGTAGACTTCTTCTCTTAATCCCACCCTGACCACATTTTCTGAGTTCCCACCTCAATATCATTCTACCACCATCCCCAAATCATGCACAGATACGCACACACACACAACATGCACAGAGAGTGTGAGCTTCTGGAATTCTAATTCACAGGACTATGCGTCCAGCAATTTTATATCAACTTGAGAATTTAAATTCTTTTAGGGTGAGTTGGGGTTTGGTAGACTTACTTCCCACTATAAATTATTAACGGTTCATTTTCCTACTATAAATAATGGTTCAATAGGCTATCTAGGCTTGACATTAATATAAAAACTTCTAGATCATTAAGGGAAACTTGGCTCCTGGGCCAAAATCCAATCCACAGAAATCTGACCATTTTCATCTGTGGCTCATAGTTATGACTCACCCTAGGCATGTG